CTGGACCAACACCATCAGCATCACACCCCTGACCTTTAAGCTTTCTAGAGGTTGCACACATTGCTTTAACTTATATCCCACTGGCCAGATTTTGATCACATGACCATATCTAGTTGCCTGGGAAATGTAGTCATTTGTTTGGGTGACTTGATCATCACCCCAATGAGACAGTCTAAGCTGTTCACATATGTGGTTTGACTCTCTCTCTCCCTTTCCCCACCCTCCATCCTGCTCTGGCTGGCAGTGGGTACTGGTCTAGGGGGCAACTGCACAGGCTGTGTCATCTGCTCAGAGGAGAACGGCTGCTCCACCTGCCAGCAGAAGCTCTTCCTGTTCATCCACCGGGAAGGCATCCGCCAGTACGGCAAGTGTGTGCATGACTGTCCCCCAGGCTACTACGGTGTCCGCGGCCAGGAGGTCAACAGGTGCAAAAGTACGTGGCCCCTCCCTTGTCCTGTGCTGGCACTGCGTTCCTGAGCACCTCCGGCCCACATCCCACCTCTCACCGAGGGGAAGCAGTATATGCCTGAGCCTAGACTCTGAGATACTTGCTTGGTTTCAGCCTGGCTCTGAAGTCCTAAGCAAGTCAGTGTCCCCTCTGGGCTCAGCACTAATAAAACAGGGAAACTTCACCCTAGTTTGCTGTGTGGCCTTTGACATGTTACTTACCCTCTCTGGGCCTACCTTAGAGGGAAGAAGAGTCCTAACTCCCAGCTCTCATTTTCACTGTGACCTGGAACAAATAATGACTATCTCTGAGCTTTGTTGGAAATGGAGTAGGGAGTCCTAACTCCCAGCCCAGATCTACTGTGTGACTTCAGGCAAGTTACTTGCCCTCTCCGAGCTTCAGCTCAAATGAGAAAGGGAGTTCTTGAACGCAGCCCTGTTTGACCCTCAACAAGTCTGGGCTTCAGTGTGTCCTTTGCTACAGAGCTTGGGGCTGCTCAGAGGCCCTCCCCCCTCAGGCAGTCCCAGATGATCCCCTCCCTGGGCAGCCACCCTCACCAGGGGTGGCCCTGGCTGTATTACAGAATGTGGGGCCACCTGTGAGAGCTGCTTCAGCCAAGACTTCTGCATCCAGTGCAAGAGGCGGTTTTACCTCTACAAGGGGAAGTGTCTGCCCACCTGTCCGCCGGGCACCGTGGCCCAGCAGAGCACACGCGAGTGCCAGGGTGAGTGGGGGCCTCCTCGCCCTGCCCCCATCTCCTCCCTCTCTGGAGCAGGGGCTGGTGAAAGGTGTCAGGAGACCCAGAAGAAATCATAGTAAAATGTCACATGGTGATGAGAAGCCCAACACCATGTCAGGTACACAGAGGAACCTTCAATACACTAGACCCGTCAGAAGTACCATATTATGATTACTATTACTACCAACACTGACATCATTGTTATTGCCAAGGGAGGCAGCAGAGCACAGAAGAGCACTGATTTTAGAATAAGACCTGGGTTCAAATGCTAGCTCTATAATTCACCCATTTGTGACCTTGAGCAAGTCACTTAAGCTCTTTGTCCCTCAGTTTCTCCAAATGTTAAAAAAAAATTACACTAGAACAGAGAACCTACTTCATGGGGAGGGTTGTTATGAGGGTTAAATTAATTAATACAATTTATAGTACTTAATACAATAACTAGCACACAGTAAGTGTTCCATACATGTCATTATTATCACACGTCATATTAGCTGTCATTATTATTACTGCTCTGTTTTTCACCACTCATTTTCAGACTCCTGTGTGAGCTCCTCTTCTGTGATCTGTCCTTACATGAGGCTGTCCCACAGTGTTCTCACCTGAATCACATATCTCTGCCCACACATTCTCTCTGGGCTCATGTTCATGGTCATTTTAAAATCTAATAGCTCCTGACTAGATGTCCTCAGCTGCATTCATCCATGAGCAGCAGACTCACATCCTCACCTGCCCTGGGGATGCCTCCTTCCCTCCCTCCCCATCCCCGCCCTGGTGCTTCCTCTGGGCCTCCTCCATCAGTAGTCAGCTCCACAACCCACAGGCTGGCCATGCTGGAGACATGGGCATCCCTGTTGACTTTTCTCTCTCATCCTACATCCAATCCAATCCGCTCATTCATTCACTCAAGAAGTATTTACTAGAACGCCTAAGCACCAGGAACCTTCCAAGTTGCTGGGGACACATTAGTGAACAAAAGAGATAAAGACTCTGCTCTTGTAGTTGTGACATTTTAGTGGGGAGACAGGAGAGACACACAAGAATAAAGATGTTAGATGGCAAAAGGAACTTTGAGGGAGAATGAAGCAGAATAAAGCTCCCAAACCTACCCCAACCCTTCCTCCCCCTTCTCCCTGACTCGCCCCCAAACTTCCCTTTCTCCCTACCTCCCGTGCCTTCTGGGATCTTAGCCACAGGCTCTTGCCTATCTACCTGCTTCCGGTCTTACTGCCTCCAGCCCATGAAGACACTCATCCCAGAAGCCAGAGTGATTATTTCAACATGACAATCTGATGAGGTTTCTCTTCTGTTCAAGGCCCTTCAGTGGCTCCCATGGTCCTCAGGTAGAGCCTTCCCTGGCTGTGGGCAGTCTGGTCCCCATCTGCCAGCCTCCTCCACACTCCTATCTTTTATTTTTCCTCCCCCATGTAAGTCCATGTTCCAACTTTCCCAGCAGACAGCAGAGCTGTCCTGGGGATTTTGCTGGAATTATTCCTTCCACCTGGAGCCCTTCTCCCTCCTGGCCCTCCCTGAGCATGGCTAACCTACCCACCCGCAGTCCCCCGTCAGCCTTGTCCCTGCCGCACCTGGGCACCCAGCCCAACCTGTGGCAGCGCTAGGTGCTGAGTCTTTGCTTCCCAAATCAGTGCATCTAGAAGAAGCACCACTGTTCTCAGGTCTGCAGACACGGTTTCTGGGCCTGATGAGATCTTATACACTTGTTCTGTTGTGTGAGCTCCTTCTCTGTTCCCTGGGCAATCCCCTTACCTGCTCTAAGCCTCAGAGTCCTAATCTGCAAAATGGAGGTAGTAAGAGCTGCCCTATTCTCTGCCTACCTTTCAGGAACTCTTAAAAGAATCAAAGGTGAGAGAATACTATATATATTAAATAGTTTTAAAAATTATTCCCTGCTGAGACCTTTTACATCCATGACTTCATTCTTCCTCACAACAGTGTGACATAGCTTCCACCTCCTACCGCTGATCAAAGGCACACGATCAAGTTCAGAACCCAGGTCCTGGCTCTGAGGGCCTCCCAGCTGACCTTGTAGCCTCATCTCCTGCTCTCCCATCCCAAACCCTCACTCTGTCCCCACTCTAGCTGCCCTGTCCCCAAACAGGATAGCTGTCCCTCGAATAGGATTGCTGGGCCCCCGGGGCTGTGCATCCCTGCCTGAAATGCACTTCCTTCCTGTCTTCACCTGATGAATTCCTCTCTCCCTTTCACTCCTACATTGCCTCCTCTGGGAAGCCTTCCCTGCCTGTGCTTGTTTTAGTACAGCTCTCATCCCAAGCTCTCATAAGTAACTATTTAAACATCTCCCCTCTGCTCCTTGTAATAGCCAGTGAGGTATCTTCAGGGACCTGAACCCCTCAGACCCTGCCCCTGATCTGAAGGACCCTCACTGCCAGCTGACCCAATCTGTCTGTCTCTCTCCACCCAACAGAGGAGTGTGAGCTGGGCCCCTGGGGCAGCTGGAGCCCCTGCACACACAATGGGAAGACCTGCGGCTCGGCCTGGGGCCTGGAGACCCGTGTCCGGGAGGCCGGCCGGGCTGGGCAGGAGGAGGCAGCCACCTGCCAGGTGCTGTCCGAGTCAAGGAAATGTCCCATCCGGAGGCCCTGCCCAGGAGGTGAGCACCAGGCTGGGCACCGGGGGCAGCCGTGGGCAGAGCCCAGGGTGACTCTGCGTGGTCAGAACACGCTGTCCTCACAAATAGTCCCTGTGAGGCTGCTTGAAAGCCCCACGAGCTACACCTTCTTGTGGACTGAGCGTTGCCCTTCCCGATGTCCCCCTTGCCAGGGCCAGTCCCAGACCCTTGGGAAAATCAAGCTTGTCCTTCCCACCAGGAGTACTCGACCCTTTCAGACTGACCTCCTTTAATAAAGGACTTGGAACGCCCTCTTTACACTCTGAAATGAAAGTCACAGATGTGACCCACTTGCACTGGTCATATTTTTTGAAAATTAGTATAATGCCTAACTGTAATATAAAAGAGAAACAAAAGAAATTTTATCACAGCAGCGCTTGGGTCCAGCCCACCAGAGAGTACTGAGTGAGGCAGGAACCCAGTGAAGGTGGCAGCCATCCCTGGCCAGGGCCTCACACCCGGCCGCCGTCAGACACATGATTTCCTAAATGGTGACCAACTCTTGGTAAAATCCAGCAAAACTGTCTGTGACCTCTTGACTGACACCACGCTGGCAGCTCTAGAATGTTCAGTGAGTGTTCACAAACACTTGGCACTCACACATAAGATGGAGTTTGGCTCTGAGGCAGCAGATTTCTCAGCTATGTGAGGCTGGGGCAGCCTGAGAGACCTGGGAGGGATGGGACCTTCTTCCTGGGGCACTGTCCCATGTGGCACCCCCAACCTCTGTCCACTGAATGCCCCCGGGGTCCCACTCATTGTGACAACAAAGGTCCCCGAACAGAGTTCCAAGATACCCGCCGGGGCTGTTAGGAAGCCCTGCTTTAAATAGAAGAGAGGCTTCAGAGTGTGG